AGTTGGCTCTTGGCCCAACGCTACGTTCCACATGTGTGTTAATGCTGAGGGGAGTGTATTTTGTGGACCAGTCTAGTTTAGTCGCTGTGGAATTTTGAAAGCACTCGACATATGAATGGGGCTAGTGCCGGCTACGCGCGCAGAAGAGTTTTTCCACATTTTCCAGCCCCTGCGGCCATTTTGAAACTGCCCATAGCCAGCAAAAGTGATGGGACATTAGTTTAAACGGCGGAGATAGGCATGTCTACATCCGTTAAAATCTACAGTCTATGATCTAGACATATGATGCAGTAGGCAAGTTTAGGCTAAGGCCCAGAGCATTCCAGGGTCCCCTCTCTCTCCATGTCTCTCCTTGTGGTATTATCTGTTGTTTGTATGTAACTTGTAATTGTTAAGTGTCATTAAATGTCTTCTTTTTATATCCACCTGGTTTTGGGCTTAATATCTAAGATGATTATATTTTTATATTCTCATGATTACATGATCAAATGTCATATTTCAGTCGGTGCTATTCTAATCTATTATTATTAGTCTTTTAAAAATATTCTTGCAATTTGGCGCAGCTTGGTCTGGACAAGCTTCACTGGAGGAGTCTAATAATTGGTTCAGCCCTGATCTCCAACTCACCTCTCATTTTTTCGCTTGAGGAAATTGCATCCACTTTGTTGTCATTTGCTAAAGGAACAATATCATGAAAATAATAGTTAGAACAAACAATGTGTTGGTTGTACAACTTAGCTTCATTAACAGTATCTTAAAAACTCACCAGGGATTACACATTGCCGTTAAAGTATTGCTTCATTGATGTATGTAAAATATTTATTTGCTGTCTAAATTCATGATTTCAATACAATGTTCAGAAAATGACAACATATTAAGTGTGTATGACAGGTTTTTATGAATTTCTAACATAAACATTAATGTTAGAAATATAGTTTTTGCATCAATCAGGAAGCAGTTGTGATGATGTCCTGACTCAAACAACAGCTCTAGATTATTCTGGGAATTGAGTAATCTTTTGAATATTACTTTTAATTAATGGAGTACCGAATCTCCTTCTTAGGCGTTTCTAGCAAATGAATATAAAGCAGAAAACTGTAAGCGTCACGTTCATAAGCTTTTGTGTCGCAACAACAACAGTCAATCACACTCACCTGGCCGCGTTGAAACACTGCCATGCATAGTCACTGAGCGTTTATATCATGCAGCAACCCTCCTCCTCCCCATCACCTCATACCAGGGTATAGGCCCTGGGTTTTCATCTCAAAATCTGCATTTTGATTGCCCCTTCTGTATTCATCTGTGCTACATTTCACATACAGCCTGCATTAAGTACCATTGCAATAAACACCCCAAAAAACGTAACAAGAGTAAAGTGTACTCACCGCCATCAGCTGCACCAGGAGCTGGAGCTGCATCTAACAATAGAAAGAATTAAATATTAACATCAAAGGCTTTTCAATAGAACTTTTTTGTGATAAATGTTTTATTATTATTTTCAAGGAGAGTGCAGGGATGAGTACAGCTCACACACACAAAAAACCAAAAAAAATAAAAAAAATAAAACAAAACAAAATAAATAAATAAAAATAAATAATAAAAAAATAATAAAAAATAATAAAAAATAAATGAATAAATAAACATACATTTTCCAAGCAGTGTTAGAATACCACCTATAGAAGCTTTTAGTAGCTTAAATGCGTACAATTTAATAGAACAGTACTGGGAAGGAGATTAAATTAGTGTGTAAACAATGACAACAGAGAGAAACAAAAGGGAGCAAAGCAAAACTCATGCCCCACCCCCTACCACCCGCCCCCTAGGACCCAAACCCTCCGCCACCACCCCCCGTCCCCCCCAATTCCCCCCAACCACCCAGGCTCAGACCTTATGCAGTATGTTAGACATCGATATCTAGGTAGCAATAAGTTATTCCTTTGGCTATGAGAAGCCCTATACTAATTGCACAGTGCTTGGATAATGGTGGAAAGTACTTTGTCCCAGTATTGTATGTTAGTTGGTTTTGCATGATGCATTTGTGATACCCATTGTTCTAGTTTTACAATATCAATAAAGTCTCTAAGCCATTTTCTCGTGTTGACAAACTGTGGTGTCTTCCATTTACAAGCAAGTATACGCTTAGCTGCAGTAAGACCAGCCAACCATACACGTTTTTCCATTATATTAAACCCGAGAGTATTGTAATGGAGGTGTGCGGTTCCATTTATAAAGAATCCTGACACAATTCAATGATAGATAGATAACAAAGCTAATAAAAGTGAAGGTATGATGTTGTGGTGATACTTACACAATACAATACAATACAATTTATTCTTGTATAGCCTTAGGTCACAACAGAAGTCATCTCAGAGGACTTAACAAAACCATTGAAATCACCAACACAGATCAGAGAATCAACAGTTAAAACACATGAAAAATATAAAGCACACACAGAAGAAAATGTCCATACATGTTGTAGAATGCTAAAGTGTCCTGATCATCACCAATCCTTTCTGTTGGACACTAACTGTCCAACAAGACCCTCCTGCATCGACAAGGAAAAACTCTTAAAAAACCCATTGGGAAAAAGTGAGAAACCTTGGGGAGAACTAGGGAAACCCACAGGGAGGGAGACCCATTTGAGAAAGGGATCCGCTCCTCCGGACGGACAGGCTAATGATCTAGGACCTAAGCTAGCTACAGGACGTGGACCAGTGGCCGCTGAACGTGGACAGGTCCGGTGCAGGACTGAAGCACTCCCAGGCGGGTCGGGCAGGGCAGTCCGCAGGTGTAGATGGAGGAGGCCAGGCTCAGAGATCCCGTCATCGTACCATGAAACAGACAATGGGACAACGGGTGAATAGCAATGAACAAACTACAGTCAAAATCCTAAAAGTGCTAAACAGATAAAGTAGGAAGGAGGAGAGGATAGTGCTCAAGTTACCATACTTCTCCCAGCAAACTGACTCCCTATGCAGCTTGACTGACAGTCTGAGGAGTTTAGCCTTCCCTGAGTCTTACCTTCCTAGCCATATGCTAAACTAAAGAGGACTGTTTTAAACCTAGCCTTGAATAAAGAGAGCGTATCTGAAAGGAGGTGAGACAGCAGCAGCCACGGCTAGGCTAGTCTAGGTTACAGCACCAAGATTCATGGATTGCACACCAGGTGTGCAAACCGATCCAAGCAAACCTAATTATATATTATATATCATATACATCATATATACCATACATACCATATATATCATATATAATACACAACATAATATACAGCATAATATATAACATAATATACAACATAACACAATACATAACATAATACATATATTGTATATTATATAACATAATATATAACATAATACAGCATATATATATAATATATACACCATATATTATATATTACCTAATTATATGCTAAATCAAAGTAGAGTGCTTTAAGCCTGGCCTTGAATGTGGAGACCGTATCTGCTTCCTTAACATAAATGGGAAGCTGATTCCACAGTAAAGGAGCTTGGTAGCTAAATGCTCTGCCGCCAACAGTGATTTTTGAGACCTTAGGAACCACCAGACGTCTGGCGTTTTGTGAGCACAACGCTCGACTTGGTTGATACGACACTAACGTGTCTTGGAGATAAGAAGGAGCCGAGCCGTTTATGGCTTTATATGTTAATAGAAGGATTTTAAACTTTATTCTGTACTCCACAGGGAGCCAGTGGAGTGATTTTAACACCGGAGTTATGTGCTCCCTCCTTTTGGTACCTGTTAACCTTTATGCAGGCACTGAGCTTTTCTAGCTGATCTGTCTGATTTGGCTTCATCGACAGATAAAGCTGTGTGTCATCTGCATAGCAGTGGAAATTAATTCCATGCTTTTTAATAATGTTTCCTAACGGCAGCATGTAGAGAGTGAAAAGAATCGGTCCGAGTACCGAACCCTGCGGCACACCGAATTCTACTCCAGAATAAGGCGACGAGTTCTGATTTACGTTGACAAAGTGAGACCGATCTGATAAATAGGATTTAAACCAGCCAAGGGCTGTTCCTCTAAGACCTATATCACATTCTAGCCTCTGCAGTAGAATGCTGTGGTCTATTGTGTCAAATGCAGCACTAAGGTCCAGTAGGACCAGCACTGACACTTGTCCATTATCAGCAGCTAGTAGTAAGTCATTTGTGACTTTGACTAGGGCCGTTTCAGTGCTATGATGAGCTCTGAATCCTGATTGAAAGACTTCAAACATATTATTTTCCTGCAGGTGGCAGCGAAGCTGCTCAGCTATAAGTTTTTCCAGGATTTTAGATATGAAAGTGAGGTTTGAGATCGGTCTGTAGTTTGTAAGTATTTCTGGGTCCAGGTTTGTTTTCTTCAGAAGGGGTTTGATTACCGCGGTTTTAAAAGCTTGTGGGACATAGCCACATTGTATGGATGCGTTTATTATATTTACGATAGGCTCAATTATCAAAGGAAGTATGTCTTTGAAGAGCCATGTCGGGACTGCGTCTAACATGCAAGTTGAGGCTTTTGAGGATGTGACCACAGAGATCACCTCTGCTTGGCTCACAGCCATGAATTTATCGAGGCCCACTGAAGAGTCTAAGTGGGAAGTCACGTATGCCGCTTCAGCCTGTCTACTACCAACAGCAGGAGTAACCTCCTCCAGTTTGTCACGGATGGATGTAATTTTATTATTAAAGAAATGGAGAAAGTCGACACTGCTCAGTGAGCTTGGAATTTTAGGCTCGATTGCGCTATGGCAGTTTGTGAGTTTAGCGACGGTGCTAAACAAAAATCTACTGTTATTTTTATTCGCTTCTATTAAAGTTGAATAGTATTGAGTTCGAGCGAAGGGCATTCTTGTAGTTAAGTTATATATTGATTTGTATAACTATACTTTAACAGGTAAAAGCAATTTCTAACTTGTATACCTAACGTTTTACTGACTTTACAGAACACAAAGGAGAAATTCGACTCTGAACCAGAAGACTGTGACCAAAAGGAAATGTACAAACTGTTGGTACGTTGACTTTTCAGTAAAATTAAAGTTACTACATCAAGAGCTCAATATCAAATCCGTCCACAGAGAGCCAGAATTCCCGACGCCAAGAAAGTGGAGCTGCTGGAATTCCGCTTCAGCGATTTTCCTCTGTCCGAGTTCGAGCTGATCCAGTGCGGGATCCGCTGCTTCTTTGAGCTGGGAGTGGTGGAGAAGTTTAAAGTCCCGGCAGAGGTAAACTCAATGTTGACTATCTGAAGCTGGAGCTAAAGTTGCTCCTAATAATGCTAAAGATAGAGATTTTATACTGCTTCTTTTTATGCTATTGTGAGATATATAAATATGTTTTTTTAGTATATTCTTACTATGGGCACAACAGTTTTTTAAATATGGTAAGTATGTCAGTATTATTTATTTGTATAGCGCCTTTCACAGACCAGAGTCACAAAGCGCTTCACAATAGTTGTTGGCATTTGTCTCTCACTCCACACACCGTGATGGAAGAGGGGTCGCACAAAGGGTAGGTGTATACCAGACCGATTGTACATGTGTTTAGTAGTGAGGTAAACCGGAGCACCTGAAGGAAACTAACGCATATACAGGGAGAACTCCACACAAAAAGGCCCTGAAGGTGGAATCAAACCAAGGACCTTCAAGCGCTAACCACTGCACCAACATGTCGCCAAATATGAAAATGTGGACTTAATAATGGATTAAATTAAATACATTTCTGAAAAATGTCTTGCAGACCCTGACCAGATGGATGTACACCGTACGTAAGGGTTACCGTGACATCACCTACCACAACTGGAGACACGGCTTCAACGTGGGACAGACCATGTTTACTCTGCTCCTCGTGAGTCGCCGCATTTACTTTTGTTATTTGTTATCCCTCTCTCAATGTGGGCCTTCCTGAGGTTTCTTACATTTTCCCGCTGGGTTTTAGAGTTTTTACTTTCCCGATGCAGGAGGGTCTGACATAAGGACAGTGGTGATGATCCAGGACACTCAATATTTATCAACATTTATCAATATTCATGGACATTGGTCACCTGCCCCTTATGGACCAATGGCTCTATTTGCATTTCTTGTGTTTAAACTGTATGATTCTCTGATCTGTGTTGGCGGATCGACAGCATTGTAAAGTCCTCTGAGATCACTACTGTTGTGATTTAGGGATATACAAGAAAACATTTATGTTGAATTGAATCATTTTTACCATAAAGGGACTTCATTGCGTTTCCATCCACAGACGGGCAAGCTGAAGAAGTACTACTCCGATCTCGAGGCCTTCGCCATGGTGGCCGCTGGATTCTGCCACGATATCGACCACCGAGGAACCAACAACCTCTACCAGACCAAGTGAGATCAGTTGCAGTCAATGGGGAAATGACACGTGTTGTGTTTGGAAATGTGGAAAATGAAATCCGTCACGTGATCGATGTGTTTGTCTTCCTCAAAGGAGCGCATCCCCTCTGGCAAAACTCCACAGTTCATCCGTCATGGAGAGGCACCATCTGCAGTACAGCAAGACCCTCATGGAGAACGAGGTGGGCTCAGTACCTCTCTTTGTCACAAGTTTATTTGGAAAGGAAAAACTATTATATTGCATAAGACTGTAACATTTAACAAACAGAGACACATCTAAAAGTCATCAATAACAGAACGCCCAATCATGTTTTTTGTTAAGTCTTTGTCATTTTTTATGTCATTGGACAGACATAATCCCATTTTCCTCCATTTAAAAAGAGAAATGGGAGAAAGCAGCTTCTCCTATGTTGGATTTTGCAAGAGGCGCAAGAAGAAGGATTAGGCCAGTGGATCCGGGCGGTGCAAGGCATATGTAAATCAGAATGCTTTAAAAAAAATGAAAAATAAAAATTAGTCAATCCAGGTCTGAATTGGGAGCCAATCTAATATTAGAATTTAAAAGTATTTGGAAGAATTTTTCCCGAAGTCCCGCCTCTCTTAACTAATATGCATGCCCACAGAGCCACTTTATTATTATGTCGATCCATTACTCCGCTACCTCCAAAACTCATTCATTTTCTTCCGCTCCATCCACTGGCTGGTTGTAGGTTCTGGCCTCTGAGCAGACAGGCCCAGACTTTCTTATCCATCAGCTCATGCATGTAAAATGAGTTATAGTTAGTGTCACTTAATATTTAAATACAGTTTTTGAAATAAGTGTTATACATAATGATAAATGAATGGGCAACTATAAAGCCAATGAAAGCATGCATGGGCACATCTGTTGTCAGAAAAAAACAATCCTATTTTGTGTTTTCTCTTCCAGAATCTCAACATCTTCCAAAACCTGCAGAAGCGTCAGTTTGAGACCGTGCAGCATCTGTTTGAAGTGTGCATCATCGCCACAGACCTGGCCCTTTATTTCAAGTGCGTCCCTGATCAAAACCAGGACTAAATCTGGACACAGCTTTCAAAATCACACCCTCATACTCATTTTCTTGTTTTAGGAAGAGGACAATGTTTCAAAAGATCGTGGACCAGTGCGGAGAAATCAAGGACGAGAAGGAAGTCATCAACTTCGTCTCCAATAACCCCACCAGAAAAGAAATCGTCATGTAGGACTTTAAACTTCATCATAGCATGATATATATATATATATATATATATACAGTATGTTCTCCAAAGGACTTCTCAAATACAATCATCTGTTTGTACTGTTTTAGGGCAATGATGATGACTGCGTGTGACTTGTCGGCCATTACCAAACCATGGGAGGTTCAAAGCAAGGTGCGTTTACAGATCCAACACGTAAATCCCTGAGTTGTATCTCGTTACTATGGCATCACTGTTTCTGCATGTGTGTCAGGTGGCGTTGATGGTGGCAGCAGAGTTCTGGGAGCAGGGAGACCTGGAGAGAACCGTCCTGGACCAGCAGCCTATTGTAAAACCCTGGAGTGAAATAGAATCCTACCAATGTTTTACAATAGTGTTAAAATGTGTCTTTGTTTCAGCCAATGATGGACAGGAACCATGCGGACGAGCTGCCGAAGATGCAGTGCGGTTTTATCGACTTTGTCTGCTCCTTTGTCTACAAGGTTTGTCTTGTTAGGGCTGCACCATATTTCATAAAACATGTATCGTCATGGCGATAATGGCAGGAGTGGTATCTATATTGCAATGTTGTGGGAGAAGTTTGAATTATTAGTTTGAGTAAATCTTGCATTTCTTTCGCACATGGTTGTTTTACTTTGACCAATCACTGTTTTGTCGATTTTGACATTTCTTTGATGTGTATGAACTTATATTCACCTCATGTGACTGGAATTACATGATTTTGAAACAAATATTGTATTTTGTTTGATACTTTTTTACATATATTATTCCTCTGAAATATGGGTTTAACTGATACCGATTACCGATATTTGTCCTTCTACACTGGTCAACAACTACTAATTGCCAACATGGTATTATTTGATTCTTTCTTTGGAGAAAATTCCCTTTTAAATCACTAGAAAACAAATATTTTGCTCAGAAGTGGGCGGAGCTTCCTGCTGCTAGAAGTAAATCTCCCCATTCAAAATCCCCTCTTTCCAAAAAATAAGACTAGAGTGAAAACTGCTCCGCTACAGTATCTGGTGAGGAATGACCACAAGATCGACATTCATAAAGAACGGTTAATAAATACTGGATAACAGTTACTGTTACATATTTGGTATTTTCAAAAAATGTAATGGGGGAATTTCACTTCCGCCCACATTGTAGCTTCTAGATAAGTGCATATGTGATCTTAGACATATGCATTTGATTATTTAACCACTTCTACCTACAGTCGTCTTTTGCCACACACTGCCACTTGACCAATGCTCTATTGACCCTAGGCTCAGGTTGACATTGACAACCACTGAACAAAATAAAAGCAGGAGAAAAACGTACATTTAACACTTGCTGTGGTGTGATTCTTCTGCTGCAGGAGTTTGCCCGCTTCCATGTAGAGATCACACCCATGTTCGACGGCCTGAACATCAACAGAGGAGAGTGGAGGGCTCTGGCTGACGTCCACGAGGCCAAGATCAAAGCCATCGAGGACGAGAAGAAGAAGCTGGAGGGAGGAGGAGGAGACGCTGCGGGTACGCCACTAAACTAAAACTAAAATCTGCAAAACATCTCATAAGCAGCATTTTACATGGATTAAATGTACACAGAGTACTTTCTGAACTGCTAAAGTAACACACGTAACACATGTTTCTAGTGTGGTGTTTGTGGGACAGGAAGAGGGACCACGGCAAATACAGGTGAAAATTGGACATTAGAGTATCATTCAAAGTGAGACATATTTTGATTATTTATAATACAAAACAATGCTATAACAATATCAAAAGTAGAATTCAAAAACACACAACTGTTTAGTACCTACAGTAATACAATACATGACAGTACCGCTGGTGGTGTAAGATAGACAAAACAAAACACATGCCCCCACACACATAAACACACACGCACACACACACACATGTAAGCCTTTTTTTGTTATAATGTTGAAAAAAATCTTGGAAAATGTGAATAATTTGAAAATGGAATGTAAACCATAACCATCAACAGTAGACAGATAAGTAGATGAGTCAGAATTTTTTTTTACTTTTAACCATTTTCTAATTGTCCGAGTTTCACCTGTTTTATGTTCGTGATGACCAGTGGCTGACTTATGATGATCGTAGGAGACCAGCTGGTGAAAACACACATTCTTTAAACACATAAGAAAATGGAAAAGCACTCGTAGAGCATAGACCTCTTCCTCCTTGACACGCTCTGACAAAACTGTTCATATAAAAACCAGTCGTGTGTATTTCTCTAGCGTTACAGAACCACAGGAAGTTTCTCCAGAACAGCTGATTCACAGAATGCACTAACGTCTTTCCTGTTTCTTGCTTTTCATTTTTACAGAAGGCAAAGCAAAAACATGTGTCATCTGCTAGAGCGCCAGCCGACGGATACTCGGAGTCACAGGCTGGAACCAACAGTGCTGCTTGCTATGATCACAAATGCTATAAAAGGACCTATTTTATATTTATTTTATCAACAATTAACCAAGTCATGCGATCCAATGCAGACTTTGCCAATCTTTATCACAATAATCGTTTTTTAATGTAACTTTGTCTTGAAGCTAAGGATCCAATATTCAGCATATGTCCAAAGCAAAAGAGCGAGAGATGTAAGAAGATTTGACCTGCCGTATATTGGATTTAGTTAGTTATAATCCAGCGGGAGCTCTCGGGCTTACCGTACGTAAAAATACAAGGACTGCAAGGTTATGTATAGTGTATATGAACTTATGTAAATATAGTGTTGTTTTATGGATGGGAGACTTCTGCAAACTCAGAGAAGCTTGAACTGTGCAGAATTTACCTTGGTATAAAGCCGATGTACTTAACTTTGAAAATATCATTACAATAAAATGTTATAAAATCCATCTCTCTCAAAACAGTTCTATCACTAGTTTAGTGTCTTTTTGCCTTCCCCTCGCAGCCAATCAGCTCTCAGTATGTAAAATATGTTTCTACTAAGGCAAAGAGAGCATGTTGGGGTCTGTTCTGTTCATTTTGGTACTTCATTTCTCCATGAAACAAGTGTATAGAAATGTTATTTTATAACAGTAACAAGACATTCTATGCTTGTCATAATCAGAAATCATGTTTAAATCTAAGACATTCAAACTGAAATGAAGAAAACACTACAGATTAGGCTTTCATTTTTATGCAATGTGTTTATGCTGGGATGTGTGTGTGCAATAGTGACATACACTGTGTAATCAATGTACTGTAAATAAAGTCTATTTTCAGATCAAATATAGCAGTATGTGTTTATGTTTGACAGTGAGAACCTGTCCGTCTGGTGTCTGTAGTAAATGTGAATGATCCTAATTGAACACATTGTCCAATCCTGTTGACTGAGGCTGTGGGAAGTGATGCGGTCTCTGCTGCGGCTGGAGGTTAAGCAGATTTACTCACAACATCACCTCTTAATAAACTGCTAACAAGCTTAGGGCGTGACAGGAGCTACAGGCCACAAGCGAGCTTCTCTTATCACAAAAATGTCCAGTTTTGGTGTAAGATATTAGGAAAGTGTTTTACACACAGCCACTGTATGAAGGTAATACAATGTTGATTTCTCAACTTATTTGTAAAGATAAAAGAGGTAGACTTTGCACATCTCTTCTATGACAGGTGCGTAGGAGTGGGCGCGCACAAGCTGGCAAAACATGTGTCAAATCTTAAGAATACACATTTTAGAATACATGTAGGAATGTATGTATTAGGACAGCCATTTCTTGATCAGCTGTCCTGTATGTCTGCTTCCATATGTTTTTCTTCATGCATCATGTATATATGTATATATTGGTGATTTCCACTTTTTGATGAGTTTTTGACGTTTTGTGAAAGTTTTTTTGGTCATTTGGTATAGTTGATTACATCCAGGGGGGAGGTCAGCCCCTCCCTATTTAAGATGGCTCCCAACCTCTACAGTATTTGTATATTTTGCCTGAGGAAGGCCTGTGGCCGAAACGTTGCTAATAAACCACTGGTGTTTGCAAGTTAGACAGTGTGCGGGTGTCATCCTTTTTTAAAGATAAAAGATAAAAAAACGATCAAAACATAAAATTATGAAACCCTGATCACACCATTATCATACGATTACCCTTAATACACTGGAATCAGAATTCTGTTTATTGTCATTGTAAGTTACCAGAAGTCACACAATTCAAATTTTCTTTGGCTCATGAGGCAAACAAGTTGTAGGTAAAAATATATTTTTTGACTTATATATATATATATATATATATATATATATATATATATATATATATATATATATATATATATATATATATATATATATATATATATATATAAGACATGCATAAAATCTTAATAGGATTTCTTACATTACAAACATTTAACAGTGCAAGGGCAAGGGATAAGTTGTTGATGAAGTGTTCATGAGTCTGACTGCAGAAAGGAAGAAACTGCCCTTATATCGGGAGGTTCTGGTGCAGATGGACCGTAGCCTCCTGTCTGACGGGAGTGTTTGGAATAGTCCATATGCAGGGGAGAGGGGTCAGCAGTGAGACAAAAGACAAGAATGCATTGAAGAGGAAGAGGCACATGAATAAGTCCATCTATGATTTACCTGTATTTGATATGAACACATGGATGATAACCCTCCTCCTCCACTTTGTCTCTCCACTGTCTCACACCCCTCTTGTCACTTCTGTCTTTCTCACAGCTGGTTTGTGGTGTCTGGTCAGACAATTCTAATCTCTTGCAATGGCATCTAGTCAGCCATCTGGTCTAACCGTGGCCGCTGGTCAGGCACCTGTTTTAGGAAACATCTGGTCTACCGTCTGGCATTTGGTGCACCTGGTATCTAACTTTTTATTGGCATCTTTTGTAACATCAGATCTTGCATATGGTCTTTGTAGCATCTGGTTTTCCACCTGGCCTTTTTCTGTCATGTTTTGTGAGTCCGGACTGGAATCTGTTACAACATATGCCATCTCTGTGGCATCTTTTCTGGCGTCTGTCAGATAAGTGACATCCCATTTGACATGTTTTAAATTATATCTGGTCTGATATCTTTCATTTTTTCCATCACCTGGTCGTGGGACATTGTTGGTATCTGTAGTGTGAATAAGACAAATTCAATATAGAGGATGAGAGACACGCAAAATTGCCCGTATGATGATTTACCTGTATTTGATAAAAACACAAGGGTTGAACCCTCCTTCTCCACTCTGTCTCTCCACTGTCTTACATGGCTCATATACCACACCACATACTACACCGTACCATATAACAAATTGCATCATAACATAGCAACATCCTATTAGTTATGGTCTTTAGGTCTTTTTTGGCCAGTGAGGTCAGTCTCACAGCTGCTATGTGGCACCTGGTCTTTTAATGTCTGGTTTTCACTCTGGCACTATTTCTGCCTCTGCTCTGCCTACTGTTAGATATGTGGCATCTGTGTGTCATAGGATCTTCTGTCTGTCCTGAATAAGGCTACAGTGCATTGAAGTGGGAGCAGGAACACATGAAATGTTCCTAGTTTACAGGATTTACCTGAATGTAGTAAAACCGTCTTCCTCCACTCGTCTGTCCACTGTCTGCACCATAGACTGGTCATCACTCATCTGTTCCACCTCACTGGCCAAAAAAGACCTAAAGACCATAACTAATAGGATGTTGCTATGTTATGATGCAATTTGTTATATGGTACGGTGTAGTATGTGGTGTGGTATATGGTATGGTGTGGTATATGGTATGGAGTGGTATATGGTGTGGTTCATAGCTTCATACACAGAGGACGTCAGGAGCGGCGTCAGAGACCTAAGCCTTGGTTTAAGACCCAGCACAAGGGAGGGGACGAGCCGAGTGTCCCTCTGCTGTATGCTCCACTCACACATTCATCTACTTTTTATTAGATTGATTTTCTGCGGATTGATTTTAAAGTAAAAAATGCTTGACGATCAACATGAAATAGGCCTATTTCACGGTTGACGTCACAATGCGGAAGTAAATGAAATGTCGGGTATGACGACTTCCGGTTGCTAGCGGATCCTGTACAATCTCCAAAACAATGGCTCAATCTAGCTGGAAATGTTGGTGTAGTGTACCTTTTTGTAAAGCTAACAAACAGCATCAGCCATATCTTAGTTTTCACGAATTTCCAACCGAGAAAGTGACTCGATCGGCCTGGGTTAGAGCGATTCGTAGATATTTGGGTGCTTCCTTTTCGTGCTTCGTGGCAGTAGCTACGTGTGTAGCCTTCATTTTCAGGCTGACGATATTTACACCACTCCAAAGGGTCATCGACGTTTAAAGAAAGGTGTAATACCATCCAAATTTGCGTGGAACAACTTTAATCCCCCTCATAGCCAGTCAGTGTATGAGAGAGCCAGCGAGAGGCTGGGGGTCGATCTCCGTGAGGAGGAAGACACTGTGGAAACAGCTGAGAGCGAGGGAGCTGCCAGTGCTGACCAGTGCTATGTTGTGTCACAGCTGTACATTGGCTCAATTTCGGACAAAGAAATCACTATGAGATGTGGTCTATTGCAACTGCTCTCCTATGGAGATGGAGTCATAGCTGACAAGGGTTTTGTCATTGAGGAAGAGTTGTCACAAATTGGTACACACTTAATCATTCCACCTTTCAAAACCACATCCCAACTTTCTGCTGCTGATGCCCATAAAACCCAAGCGATTGCACGTCTCAGAGTGCTCGCAGAGAGGGCAATACGC